GCTAACTAGAAAAAACACTAAAATAATCAATTCAAACTCCTCACCGGTAAATTTGTAAGAAATTGTTGAAAAATAAATTTTATTTCTGAATAGAAATAGATGTCCTTGCATACAATCGTTGCACTTTAAATTAATTACGTAATTCCATACTATTTTTCGTTTATAATATTAATTAAAAAGCTAACGCCTAGAACCAATCCTTACAATGGCAGCACCAATAGCAAATACTTCTACAAAACACCAAAATAATGATTTATTATCGAAACTATTGCCAAAGACGAGTATTTGTTTCCAAACAATGTTCATTTTATGATAGATATGTCTATTTATTTGCAATATCAAATTGAAATAATGACCGAAGAGCAATTTTATGACGATTTTTCAATATGGCGTCGAAATATAAAACATGATACACTTTCTTGTAAAAAATTTTATTAAAACCATTTACGATTGTATGCCAATTTCGAAATAGTTTTACTTGTGAATTCCTTGTAGGTACGTATTAAAAATTAAATTCGAGTTTCTAGTATATCTTAAAGAGTCCCCAGAGCCAACATTTTGGGAATTCTTCACTTTTATGGTCTTGCAGTTAAACTTACGCAAATTCTTTTGCTCACATCAAGCAACTGTTTCGTTTGGTCTTTACGCATGAGGGATACACTATAACAAAATAAATCGTGTTGCAATTCTGTACAAGTAGATTCGCCTAGTGGAACTACAGAAGAAAAACTTAGTACACTAAATAAACAATGGTTTCTACTTCAGCCAATATTTATCGAATTTCTAATTTCTTTCAGAAGTTTCACGTTTCTGAAAACACTGTTTCCAAATATTTAAGTTGTTGTTACTGAAATGAATATTACATTGAAACAAAAACTTATTCACATCGAGACGTTGCAAAAATATCCACATGTGTTTTGCTAAACACTTTTTAATCGATAGTTTCGCAATTTCGTAGAAAACATTTGCAATTGCCTCGACCACAGAGGCATTAAATTGAATGTCTTGAATTATTGAATTCATGGTGATGAATTTAATAATTTCGTTAGTAAGTAATGTTTTTCTTATCAATTGAAACATTTAAAAAATGCTAAAAATTAAAAACTTTATTTCAAATAGCATACATCTTCACAAGGTTAATTATTTAGAAAGTTTATTAAATAAATATCTCAAAAAACTAACAATACAATTCAGAAATAAATATCAAATTTGCATTTCATGATAATTGCCAAAAGGTAAAACTGTAATAATTCTTTACGCATTATTCAAGGTTTCAAATATTTGGTTTATATGGTTCAAACTTTATAATACAAAACTTTCAGTAAAAGTATTCCAGTTGTAGTATTTTGAAAATGATTAATATTAAACTTTAATATTAAACATTAGAGTGAAAAGGTTTACCTTTAGGATTACATTGAAATTGGCCAATTTGAAGTATTTAAGGAACGTTTTCAAATTTCCTCAAATTATACCATTTTAATGAACTTTCTTTCATGCAAAAACGAAACAATTAATGCAATGAACAAACAACAATTCATACATTTGGTTTTCATCAATTTCATCCTGGCGTTAAATAATTACAATAAGTAACAGAGACCATAATTATCCTAGAACTTTCTCGTGCTGAAAATATGAAATCTGTTTTAAACAAATTCTTCATACATTAAAATATAGTTAGCGTAGCTTACTGTACTCAGTTATTGGTTATAAATATGCAGTAACAATAAAGCAATAACTAATTTATTTGGGCAATTGAATTTTCGCTCTTCAAATAAATCTATCACAAGGTGTATTAAGAACAAATAAGGTATAATAAGAACGTTTATAATAACAATACCATTCACTTGTCTAATTTTTGGAAGTCATTTTGTCAATTCTTTGCACCTTAGTAACAATATTTGTAATAAGGTTTTGTGTTCAATTGCGAGGGGCCGACTAGACAATTTGATATTTTAATAGACATACCCTCTGAAGAAAGATAAGATAATTTGATTAAGCAATGCGTTTAAACCATTCGATCGGGTCAAAATTAATCCCAAAATTCTGGTAATATTCATTCATAACTAAAGAGAATGTGAATCTTAATTTCATTACTATCTTACACGTACTTCAGTTTTGTAAAAATAGATTAAATATTAGCAGATTTAATAGGACTAGCTTATTTTTTTGTGGAATATATACGAGCTTCATGGAGCAAAGATTAAGTCGTCAGCTTTTGAATGCGAAACTCTTCTGGCAAGCGCCTTGGAGAGGAGTTGAGGGGGAGCTAGCTGAGCCTCTCGTCGTTGGTGAACTTCGCGTTGCGAAGGAGCGTGGCCTCTCAAGGACAGGAGGTGGAGGTGGAGGTGGAGGTGGAGGTGGAGGTGGCGGCGGCGGCGGCGGCGGCGGGAGGAGATTCGCCCAGCCGAGTGCACTGGGAACGCAGCGCCCCCTGCCCGCACGAACACAAGAATTTGTCCTTGCGCACGTAGACCACGTCGTGGCCGGAATGGCACTTCCTGACGCAGCTCACGCACACTCTGTTGGGGACCCCGGACGCACACGTGCGGCACGTGAAGAAATCGTGCAGGACTTTGCGAGCCCTGGATATCGCGGAGAGGCACTTCTCATCCGCCACTGCCTTCTCAACAGCGTTATCATTGTTGCAAATTAGATCGCCCTTCATAGACGGGTGAACGTCACTAGCGAGAGACAGGCCAGCAAATTCATTGTTGAATATTTGATTGTATTCTAGGGTAGCGGTTGCGCTGAAACTTATCTCCACGCCAGATCCTTGACCATAAAAGATTCGATTATCTCGCAATGTTGGATGGCTTTGAAAACAGATATAAACGGCACTTTCCAAGTTGTTAAAGATTAGGTTTTGTTCTAAGAGACCTTTCCCGTTATTATGAACAATTACTCCACATCCTTTCCCATCAAATATCTTATTACGTTTTATTGTAGGGTTAGAGAAGTTCTTGATCCAAACATTTGCCACGTCGTTATCAGAAATTTCATTCTCCTCTAACACCCCGTAACCTCCATTACTTATTAAAACTCCCCCATTTTGCCCACTCGAAATCTTATTTCTTCGGACGTGCGGATTACTTCCAGTTGCTATTTTAATATTCGCATATTCATTTCTGAAAATCACATTATAGGCAAGATCGCCTCCAGCACCATTTTGGAAATAAACTCCAATCCTTCCAGAATAAATGCGATTACGCCGAATCGATGTTGTGCTAGACGATTCGATCCGAATTCCATGAAATACGTTGGAATAAATTTCATTGTTGTGTATACACCCTTTGCTCTCGTCACTGACGTAAACTCCAATGAGATTGCCGTGACGAATCGTATTCTGACGAACTATTGGATCACTGTTTATGATACGAATTCCTGACAAAGCACAGCCAACGATTTCATTTTCTTCAATCATACTCCTCCCGCTCGCAGCAATGTACACTCCCTCTTTGCAATTGTGGATGTTATTTTTCCTAAATGTCGGGTCACTATTCAATATACAAACTCCAGAAGAATTTCTGGAGCAAATTTTGTTATTAACAAATACGCCAGAACCCCCGTGATGTACATACACGCAGCTTACCTCCCCAGACCCGAAATCGTTATCCATAACTACAGGAGCACCTCCGTCTGTTACTTCGAAAGCAGCTACACGATTATTAAATACATCGTTGGCTTGAAAGCATCCCAATGCTTTTCCAGACACCATGATTCCAACTTCTTGCCCGTCGTAAACGGAATTTTGCTGGAAGACTGGATTTGCCTTATCTTTCACCCAAATTCCTGTTAGCCTATTGCGGTTTATTTTATTTCTTTCGTACGTTCCTAGACCATTATTGTCTACGCATAGCCCCCGGCACTTACATTCACTAATATGACAAACTTTAATTGTAGGGTTAGCATTTCGACCGGAAACATGAACAGCTGACCCATAAAGAGATGTACTTCTGATTATGCAGTTTTCTACAGTGGGGGAACAATATTCTGTGACTAGTAAGCAGGAACATTCACCCTGTACAATAGATAAACTTCGCTCAGGTGAAAAACGTATTGTTAGATATCCAACGTAGGCCACAGATGCCCCCGCCTCTATCTTTAGTGTAGTTATACATTTGCTCTCTAAGATCACAGATTCCGCCACATTTCCCGAGGCCGCACCAAGAAGAGCAACGTTAGAATCGATAATGATCCCTCCATTATAGGTTCCAGCATGTATGAAGACCAACGAATGGTGGCCGACCTCTTCGGATTTCGTAGCGCCGTTCTTCACGAATTCCAAGGCTTCTTGAACCGTCTCAAAATACTTCATATTCCGGCCATCAAGAGAGATTTCTTTATAGCCTGGACGGACGTGTACACCGTGGTATAACTGTCGGAAACTCTCCTTCCAAGGATTGACGTAGTCAGAGTCCTCCGGGGCCACAAATTCGAAGACGCACTTCGCCGGATGGATCAGCAGATTATCGTATTGGAAGACCTGCTTGTACAGCCGCCGCCACAGGTCCGCGTCGTCCGCGAGGTCCCGAAGCCGCCTGCACACCTGGGCCACGCGGCACAGGTCCCGCTCCAGGAGCAGGCGGAAGATGGCGAGCAGCACGTCGTCCGGCAGGTACTGCAGGCTCCAGCAGGGGGCGGTGGTGGGGGTGGGCGAGGGGGCACGGTACAGCCATGCGTTGAGACGCCTCTTCCATGGAGTACCGGCTCCTGAGGACTCTGGGACGAGCGGTACTGCTCTAGGGCGAGGCTGGAAGCGGGTGGACGAGCAGATGACTCAGCAGTAGGCGCGGGACATAGGCGGAGGCGCGTGTCTCGCAGGCGCGAGAGCGCGAGGCGAGGGCCGGCATGCGAGGGCAGGCTCAGACCTGTTGAGGTGGGATCGCGGCAGCAGCAGTGGGTATGGACGGTGGCGACACGGTGACATCGTACAGCAATGCAGCGAGTCTGATACTTGTAGGGGGCGGGATCGGAGGGCGGTCAGCAGTGTTGAGGTGGGACTAGGGGCCAGCAGCAGTGGTTGAGGGCGAATCGGGAGGCAGCAGCAGTGTTGAGGGCGGATCGAGGCAGCAGCAGTGTTGGAGGGCGGATCGGAGGCAGCAGCAGTTTGAGGGCGGGATCGGAGCAGCAGCAGTGTTGAGGGGCGGATCGGAAGGCAGCAGCAGTGTTGGAGGTGGAAAGGGAGGTGAGGGCGGGCTCTGGAGAACTGAGGCGTCGGAAGAGCGAAGGTTGGGGGTGATTTTACTTGGGGGCAGGAGGGTGTGAGGGTCGCCGTTCAGCTCCTCCATCTGGGCTCCGGGAGGTGGCAGCCACTGGACCAACTCTGCGCAATAGAAAGTTCCGTTAAGTCTCATTCCAATGAGAGGAGGGGTGCGTCTTCGACCTACCCCAGAGTAGTTTTTATTTTCGCTTTCTTTATTTATTCAAGAAGTTACTGTTTCTTTGTTTAGGGCATATTGTTTCAATCTTTTCTAAACCTTAGGTTTAGTCTTTCAACCCTTCTCGGACATTTACCAAAAAGATGTCACTCGTCCACAAAATATATCAGATGTGTAGGAAAAAGTGTAACGAAAGTGTAAAAGTGTAACAAAAACTTTCATATGAAATGTAAAAAATGATACAATTTTCGACACTAAAACGAAGTAAGAAAAAGTGTAAATTTAAATGTGTAGAAGAATACAACAACATTTCTGTTGCGTAACTGTTTCTATACAAAGAGACGATCAAACAGAAAATATTTAGTTTAACACTGTTCTATAATGCATATGTTAACACTTGTGTAATGTATAATGTAATGCTTGTAACAATTAATTTACTTCAGCTTCTAGGCCAATGACTCCCATCTCGCCACATTTTCGTTCAGTTTCCTTTCTCAATGAGAAAATTCGGAAATTGTCCCTGGTTTTACTTTTGGACAGAAACGTCGCTTCACTGCGCGCACGTTTCGATGAGCACTCCCTTTCTAGTTGTGATAGAAGAAGAGCCGGGCTGTGGGTTGCCGTTTGCCGATGCACCCGTTTTCGAGAACTCGCAAGCAAAAATGTCTCGTTTTCTAAACTTGCTAACCTCGCTTTCTCTGTATATTTATTCATTCTTCAAGGGTGTTTAGGAGAAGGGTGAGATGAGACACTGGAGCTCAATGAAATTTGCACAAATAATACTTTTGCCTCGTACGTCAGTTGTTACTGTTCTTTGTCGAAATAATTAAGTAAATACGTCGAAATTGCTATACATGTCATTCTGAGACTAATAAAATTTTTTCGTGCTGTGAATCTTGTAGAATGAAGTGTAGAGAAGCGCGGAGTCTGGAGAGGGAACTCCGAAATTTATAAAAACCAGTACTCGGTAATAACCTTGTCTAAATTAAAATATTTAAGTAATGAATTCGTTCTTTTTGTTTATATTACGAATATTCTAAAATAAAACGCAGTATCTACAAGAAACGAAACTTTTCCTTAACGGAAACAAACGTTTATAATTGACTATCAGATGTGCACAGTAACCGCAGGCGACTGCAGTTAATTCTACGTCAAACCGCTTTTACGTTTAGGATTATGTGGGGAGTTGTTTTTGTTTCCTAGGAACATGACCATTTTCTGCAGTTAACTAACGTGATCGTAGTGGTATTACATTTCTAAAAATAGTTTACAATACTGGCACTAGTTTTTCTTTGATTTTGCTATGGTGTCTCGACCGGTTCAATATCAAGTGTTAGAGTAGGCGTTTTTTTCCTGAACTGGTAAAAATTGGTTTACTGTATTTAATTAGTAATTTAGTAGTTAAAACTGACACTTCATTATTTGCTTCTGCTGTAGTGCCTAGGACAAGTTGATATTAAGATCTAACCAAAACTGCGATTTTGTAAATCAATTGCAGGTAAAAAAAGTTGTGTAGAATTTTTCATTCTCAAAATATTGACAGATGTTTGTCATTTAAATGAAAGTGTGTGTTAGGGGAAGAGGAAAACACTTGCATTTTGAGAAATTGTAAACACTTTTTTTATTTTCTTCGTATATTAACAATATTTCAGTATTTATTGTTCTCGAAGGCAGGAATAAAATAACGATTTAACATGCTGTTAATATAGCATAATGCTGTTAAGAAAGAATTCGTGAATCTGTCCAACTCATAATTGCCATTACACTGTACGCCAAATTACTATATCCCGAACAATTTTTGTGAAAGAAGGAAAAATATTGCTATTCCTTTAAGAAATGGCTTACAATCTCGAAACGACTCAATCTTGCAAATTGACAATCTCTTCGCTTATATTCACCGCGTTGTTATTCACACTTTCTTTGTGCGCAATATTTTATTGTGCGGAAACCTTACTCTCCCCACTGTATTTTTGCACAACCACAGGAAATAGAGGTACCAGTTTCCCAATTCAACAATACACATTTGAACTAGGAAAGAAAATGGTGGAAAATCGGAAAGCAACCATCCTCTTCCTTTGCAGCCTGGCAAACAATGCAATCACTCGCATCACTCTTGCTCCAATTCCCCATCAATTTGCACCAAGTAATGCGTTTTATAACTAAATACGAGACGAGCAAAAATTTAATCTTTTAACCCTGAATGTGGGAAATTTTGGCTACCACGATATGGCCTGAAATAAGACAGTATGTACAGAAACAAACAGTGTTCTTTAAAATTGAGAAACAATAATAGTCGATAAACTTTTACAGTGAAAGGAAGAAAAAATTTCAAAAGCACAGAAACAAAATTGCAACTGAGTAATTCTAAAAGGAGCTTTAACATATTTGCTGAACTTAGGACCTACGCAACAGAACAATGGTTTTGCAACACGTTTCCACGCGATAATAGCGGGCTATTGCAAATTTCTCAAACAAGTAATGTAACGTATCTAACTGTAATTAATAGGCAGTTAATATCTTCTTGATCGTTATGATTGAAAACAAACGTATATGATTACATGAACAAAATTAAGTTGCGTCGATATCTCTCAGAAAAAAGTTTCTATAATACTAGACATCTCATAAGCCCTTCGCACACGTTTGTTTGAGAGAATAACGCATCTCGATATCTGGAATGGTTGAGTTGAGAAAACATATGTTTAAAGGGAACATCTTAGATAAGACATCTACATATAGAGATTAGTGTTAAGTTTGGCTTCGCTTGTAAGTTCATGACTAGACTAGAGGGTTTTGATATCTGCAAACCATCTTAGTCTGCACAACGCATACTTACAGACGCATTTTATGCTATACAGATGTGAGAAAAAACTGGCTTAAAATTGAGTTATTGGGGAAGTGTATATCGAACGATTGCTTCGCAAAATAGATCGAAAATAATATTGTCCCTTGCAAAACGATCGTCTTCAATAATTCTTCACCCAATTCGCGTTCATCGGGTTTGTCTAATATTTTTCTTTGTGCACAATATTGTGTTCTTGAAAAAGAATAACCTGTCCTTACTACAGCAAACAAATACAATTTCAATAAAAAGTAATACAATCAGGAATATAATACAATAAAAAGAAATACAATGGCTAATAGTTTGTTAATATTTTGAGAAGTAAAATTGAGTAAACTAATTTTTATAACTTGTTTTAAAAGACTCGTACTGAATATCATTTTAGTATCCTTTGCAGGATCTCGCCATATTCTCGGCCGTTAGGACAGAAAACCTTATCCTTGTTCCAGTTTGCGGGGCTTTCCCCATCCAGGTTCATTCCAAGCACCGCCCTAGCTGGAACAACCTCTAAGCTCCTCACTGGGCTCTCGACGTGTGTGGTAATGTAGTGATAGTAAGTAAGGCGAAAATAAGAGAAAGGAAAGATCGCGCGTGGTCCTCGCCCCGTTTGTTAGAATACAGCTCCGGCATTTGCCTTCTGAGAAACCAAGAAAAACTACCGATCAGAGCAGCCGGAATATTTTGCCAGCGCCTTGACAAACTCTGGGACCTCCACGTCAGTGGCACTGCAGCGACATCAGTTCATGCCCTGAGACAATTCAGCCGATCTTTTGGTAGGGAACAAATGCAAGAATATTTTAATTGAAAATACTGAAATAATTGGTAGCAACTTTTTAATATTCTCGTATCTATATTTACTATTGTATTGAGTTCGTAGTAAAGCTTTGAACTCTCTTTAAATAGTATATTTCTATTGCTCCATTTTAGTTACATTTTTTCTTAATACTGTATTTGAAATATCAATTACAAGATTAATGGACGAAAATATCTCCGGCTGATAATACTCAATATTGATGTTCATTTTTATGTCCGTTCTGTTAGGGCATTATTCTTTCTTCCAGCTACCGCCAAGACACGTACACAGACTGGGCCACCTGTCGCTAAGACTGCGAATATTGCGCGCCGCAACTCTTATAACAAAATTTTCAGAGTGCCATCAAGGTAGGCCACCTACAATAGCATAATGCAATAAAGCCGTGCCAAAATTTTTAACTGATTGTTGCAAAAATTGCTCATATCTCATCCCCTGCACCCACGTAAAAACGCTGACGCCAGTCCTTGATATTGAACTGACCTAAGCATGTTAGCAGAATCAAATAATACTAGTACAAGTTTTGAAGTCCAATCTGAATTATGAGTCCTTAAGCCCAAATCACCCCTAACAAGTGGGCTTACCATCACATATACCAAATGTTTATATAAAAATGTATCGCGCTAATAGGAAAAAATAACATTTTTAATAATTGAATATTTTATTTCAGAAGCCCGTAAACGCCAAAATCTAATAGACGCATTAGTGGCGGATTATTGCTCCAAGAGGATAGACATAGTTAAGTGTATATTTATATGAAAAATATTCATTTATCGACTTGCTTTAAAATATACAAATATATTGAAATCAGATAAATCGGGAAACTTTTTCCCAAGTTTTCTCGGAATGAGGAATTTGGCGTTTGGCGGGTTTCTGAAATAAACTATTCAATTGACAGAAAGGATCGTTGAATGTTAAAACTAGGTGGATAGATATCAAAAGGTCCGGCTGGTCCCGGATCTACGGTACACATTACCCTAGGCTTCCTCGATTACTGTGCTGTGACGTGATCTACTTCTAGTCCAATCTGTGCGAAGGAATTTTATCGTTCACGAGTCACGAATCATTTATATTATTTTGAGAAACATTTAAATGAGCTGAACACATCTACTAGCCAAATGATTTTTAAGATGAGAACTCACATAAAATGCGTTGGACAGACGAGGATGTTGTATGTTAACACGAGGGCCGAAGGGCCTAGCTTCGTCCTCGTATTGGACACGCGGAGCGAAGCGTCACATTTACGCGCGCGTTACCCGGGAACCGCCAAATTGTGGTGAGGGTGTGGGTGTTGGCTGAAATGTAGTATACGGTACAACCTAAGGAAGTCGTTTAAACCGGCACTTCGCGCCGTTCCAGCGTGAACTAGGCAGTTAGAATTGTGGAGGCTTTCTTGGAAAGTGATGTCTTATAAAAGTGAATTGGTAATTATGCATTGGATAGACTCAAGGATGTTTATAGTGAACGCGAGGGCCGAAGCCAGAGCCTCGCTGTGACTTGGATCCGGGCGAGCGAAGCGAGAAAACTTGCCGTTTAAAGTAAGTTGGCGTTACAATGCGGCGGGGGCAAAGCATATGAAGGGCGAACCATGAAAATCACCTGTCCGTAAGTTTTATTCATTTCAATTAGAGCACGCACAGTAATTAGGGCTTAAGCCCCGCTGCCACGCTTCTCTAAGGGTGTACCGTATACTAAATTTTAACCCTAGTGTTTAAATGTGCCATGAAAGTGATAAATCATTTCTATTTATCGTTCACGACACACATCAGAAGTGAACGATACACACAGTCGTATTTAAGGAGGCCGTGACAGCAAAAGCCTTCACGACCGCACCGTACAACCGCGATTAAGAGAAAGTCCAATAACGATTACTACTTTCCCCTATTTTGCCTAATGCGTCGACAAAAGTACATTACATTTTGTCTTCACTTTCACTCCTAATCAACTCGTCAGTATTTTTCATAGTTACAAATACGGGAGACTACTTATTAATCTGTAAGCATTACAAATGCCTACGTACCAAATTGATAGGTCTCGACCATAGAAAATATTTAATTTCATGGAACGTTCACGTTAACGTGGAAGTCGTAATGGAAAATCAGTTCAATAAACCGCTGCGATTCAGTTCTAATTTCATACGGTGAAGATGTTTCATTCACCTCACTGATTAATCACACAACACAAGTATTTTATTTCAAAAATTATCTCATATTTTCCGAAAGGAGATAAAGCATGCAAGGTTGAGATACTCGCTACTATAAACCTAATAATTTTCAATAAGTACATGCAACGTATCAGGCTCAGAAGACATAGCAAATAGTTGAAGGGCTTGGAAAAAATAAAGTTTCAAACTGCAGTTTCTCGCCACAGAGTAAATAACACGTATTTTCGAAGTACGGCACCTTTGTTACACTACCATCACAATACTTAGAAAAAATGTACTAAACGATAAGGCAAGTATTTTATTAAGATTATTTTATTTTTGACGGAAGAGTAGCAATAATGGAAATTCAAAGACGCGAATCTCAAACTAACAGATTTGTTTATCCTCCTCTTCATTCCTAC